GCCTCCCATCTTACTTTTTTCCTCTGTCTGTCGACGTTTATCGAACACTACACTCCTTTAAATGTTTTGAATATGTCACTTTTTATTAATTGATAAATTGCATTACATCACATTACATATCCCCATGGAAATTGAAAAGAAAACATGCACATGTACATCATATATATATGTATATATATGTATATATGCATATATGTGTGCATATATATATATATATATATATATATATATATATATATATATATATATATATATATATATATATATATATATATATATATATATGCATATATATATATGTGTGTGTGTGTGTGTGTGCGTACAGTGATGCAAATACATTTAGCCTAGCACTAGGTGCAATAATATCCTCATAAACATCCTCATCGTTGCTGAATAACACTTCACACATTGCAGCATCAAATTTGAGCTTCCCATTCCAAACCAGGCAGAGACGCTCCGCGCGCTAATGCTGCCACGTTGGGTGAACTAAGGGGGGGGGGGATTCCATAGAGTAATGATAGGAAGGGAAGCTGAATTTGAAAGAAGGCTGAGTAATAAAGGAAGAGGGCGAGACCCCTTGCGTGGTATTTTCTTTTGTTTTTCATTGCTAGTTGGAAGGCGTGGTATTATTTTGTTGAGTATAGAGCCACTAGGACTCGGTCAGAAGGACTTCTCTAACGGAGGATGAATATTCTTTTCTGAATCTTTAAATCGGCGCAATTGTTGCTCATGTCGCGTGATTTTCTCAACAGAACTATAGGCAGATCTTCTAATACGACTCTTTTGAATGAAAGAGTTCTTATTTCTTTTCAGGTTCGCGCTCCATGGGTGAAGCACTTTTATTACGTGGATTACGACACTTACATCTTACCAGGATTCGACCTATTAACGCTGGGAGGAACTCGGCAGTTCGACTCCTACTCCAGCGAAGTGTGTCGCCACGATGCTGCTGCCATCTGGGAACGGTGCACGCAAGTTCTTCCGAGTCTCAGGAATGGCGAGGTTAGTGTTAATTTGATAAGAGGTAGAAAACGTGTTTTATTTCGAATAAGGCATGGTTGAAAAAGTATCTTGTGCCGAATAATCGTCTTCTCTCATAACAGCATCTTTGTTCATCGTGAATATTGATTTCACTGTTTCAGACATATCAGGCTGATAAATTCTAAAAATCCTGTTCTTTACGCATGTAAAGGATAATATCGTATTCGTCCTTATTCTCTCAAACTGAATGAATCTAGGTACTGTAACGTATACAAGGAAGCTAGAAGTTTATTTTGCAAACTGTTAACAGAACAAGAAGCTAAATTTCCTACACACTCAACTCTGCAGTCAAAGTTCACATATGAAAGTATTCTGTATTTCCGAGTAATTCATCTTTATCAAATCACAAATCTCATTTTAATTCACCTGTTTGGAGGTCTCGCAGACCTGTGATGGCTATCTATCTATCTATCTCTCTATATAAGTACCTGTTGTTGCATATTGTTTACATTCTTACTGTTATATTCATCACTATCATTCTCTCGACTCCTGACGTTGGCTCCCGCAGGTTGTAAGGCAGTGGGTGGGATGGCGCCCATACCGCCCCTCCGTCAGAGTAGAGCGAGAAACCATGACTTTCCCCAATAAAAAAACTCTTGAGGTACTGTGACACAGGAACGAAGTACTATTTAAAAGAACGGTGTGATGAAAGTAGTTAGAGTCATCGCATAGAGTTAGAAGAAAAGAGAAACTGAGTAGCATATAGGTGCGGTGATGGGAAAAATCCTATAATTACTGAAATATGACATTTTTCTCTTTCTCTCTCTCACACACTCCCTCACTCTTAGCATCCTTGTCTCTTCCAGGTTGTACACAACTATGGCCACGGTGGGTACGGCGTGATGACGGCCCCGGGGACTTCAATCAACGCCGTCAAACTTGTGGTTGATTACCTTGCGTCAAGAAAGGCAAAACTTTAAAAGAGTAATATACAGGAGATCCGCCTGTGGACCTGCGCCTTGACTTATGATATCATTAGTGACAAAAATATAGCGATGTCTCTACATACCTTGAACAATATTTCTTTAATGATAAGTAGAATAAGTATGCATGCAAACTGCTCTACATCTTAAATGTAAACTAACATACATATTAGTATAGGTATATGTGTACATACTTATCTCATCCTGATGATACATATATTAGAATATAGACCGAAGGGGAAGATATACATATGAGCACTGAAAGGAAAAAAAATGACAGTAGAATGTCATATACGTGGCAATCAGGGCGACAGGTAGACAAAAAAGTAAACAGTCTGGGAAACAGCTAGCACAAGAAGGCCAAGACCAAATCAGTGACAAGACGGGACGACGAAATAGCTAATTTCCGGGCCTGTGAACTGGTAACGCAGAGCACTGGACCGAACTGACTGGAAAAGATTAGGAGATCCTACTTCCTGCAATTAAATGATGCAGTGATAATGTGGATCGTGATATGCACATACATATATAAAGTGTACACAGAGATAAAAAAATAATGTATAATTGTAGTTATCTATCTAGACACAGGCGCGAAAAAATATGTAAACGACAATACACAAAGCATGAATAATTGCAAATTTGCTCTTTCCTCCCCTTTACAGATATCAAGATATGCCGTTCAAGTTTAAACAGAACATTTTGATTCAAGCTCATTTATGCAATTATAACTACATTCAGAGTAATAATATAATTTGTTTCTTCAGGTACTTTCTTGTGTCATGCAGATTTTTCAGCATGAGTAATACAGTGGTACAATGGTTATTGCTTCATAATAATACTCCATGAAGACCAATAACGGGTCTGTCGAGTTATGGCCCTGCTGTGGATGTATATATATATTTACATATATCTATATATATATACATATATATATATATATATATATATATATATATATATATATGTGTGTGTGTGTGTGTGTGTGTGTGTGTGTGTGTGTGTGTGTGTGTGTGTGTGTATATATATATATATATATATATATATATATATATATATATATATATATATATACATACACACACACAAACACACGTATATATTCTCTCTCTCTCTCTCTCTCTCTCTCTCTCTCTCTCTCTCTCTCTCTCTCTCTCTCTATATATATATATATATATATATATATATATATATATATATATATATATATATATGCATATATATATATAACCCAAGTTATAAAGGACTGGTCTAATACTCAAACTAAATATAAAGTTTACATAAAAAACAACAGCAGTGAAACGAAACAAATGAACGCATGTACAATACAACACTGAGAAAATAAAACTGAATATTGGATCCAGATTTGATGGAAAACCGAAAACTCAAAAGATGTTTTAATTTGTGTGAAGAGTAGACTCCTTTGAAAACTATGTTAACCTTTTACAATCTGCTTCTGATAGTTTTAAAAAAATCTCAGATATTACATTTGCCTTGTATGCCTGTATTAAGGATTGTTAGAGACAGAGATGCACAGATAACTCGTGTTATGATATCAAAACTTGACTGCCAGGGTATTCCTCTTACGTTTCTACATTAGGTTTTCTCACAGGAAAAAGGAGATTCGCATTAAATTCTGTAATAATTTTCGTATTTTGTATTTGCTTAATTTTCCTCAGTGGGGCTGTGTTTTCATGGAAAACTGAGCAGCTCTTTATAACTGACTGGTAAGAATACATAATCATAATCGGTGTTGTAAATGTTTTTAGGGTATTTTTGAAGAAAAGTTGCATTCCGCTTGTTAAGATGAACCCTTTTAGCATGCGTGAGACTGATCACTGTTTGTTTGTTTTTTCGTGTTATACTCAGTTTTTTTTCTCAGTTGTATGGCTTGTAGTTCATGTCTAATCAGTTTTCTCTTTTGCTTGCTTCACTGACGTTTCATTTAGTCTTGCTCATCTTGCAGTTTTAAGAAGAAGCCTTGTAAATCACCTTCTGTCCCGATGTTTTATTACTGATTTTATTCTTACTATTATAATACGAATCTGAGTGTTTGTCTTATTGCGTGTGACTTCTCCACCATCACGTCTTTATCATTAATGAATGTAACTGAATGTTTTGTTTTGTATTTTTGTAGAGTTTAATGGCGTTTAACTTCTGTTTTACCTACATATGCATTTTGAATTATATTACACCCAGTTGTGTACTGTATATACTACTCATCACTATTTTTTTTCAACTGGTTCGTCTGTTTGTGACATCGCAAATCACGATATTGCCACGATAGACTGTAAACAATGTCAAGTACAACTCCTGTGTGTTTGAATTCCCTTCATCTTGGAACATTGTCAACTGCTGTACTTGAGATATACATTCATATATACATACATCTGTGTGTGTGTATTTCTTTATACTAGAGAGTGATAGCGTGGTTTTACACTCTCCGTGGCCGCTCTGCCAGAGTAGATTTGAAGTCTTGTCAGATGGGAATATAAGTTTTTTATATGAAATACTACATTCTTCCATCTTACCTATAAAGTAACCTGGCACTGCAGCTCCATTGTATTTGATATTCAATTCTCCATGGCTCATTTTTGCTCACTTCCAGTCGTCAAGCTTCATCTTCGTGCGCCACCATGGCACTGAAGGCCTTCTTTGCATCGGGCGGACTGGCGGCTCTTACTGTTATTGTTTTATATGTTATTTTGATTGTTCCATTTGAGGGGGAAAGGTGAATAAAATACGGAGCTCTGCTGAGTTGCACAAGTATATTCTGGAGGAGTGTACAGAGTATACTGCTGTTTACGTAAGGGTTATGTTCTCATGTAATATATGGGGGGGGGGGGGTACAAGACTCGTATCATAATATAAAACAAATAAAACACATTATAAATGAAATGATTATGGGTGAGCACGTGACATCACTCTTTTTGCTTGTTACATGCACGGGCATTTTCCTGATAACTGGAAACTTGAGTAGTAATCAATTATAATCAAGTAATCATTTTCTCCATAATGGAAAAGATCTGTCCCAACATA